CCCCAAAACCCCAAAACCCCAAAACCCCTTAAAGTAAAGCAGTGATTAATTGTGACATATAATAAAGTTAATTTGCTTTATCAAAAGTTTATAGAAGTATTATTATTATTTTATGATATTTTTGTTTGCTTTTATATAAATCCTTTAAAACGTTAGGTATGTAATTTTGGTTTTTCATAATTTAGCTCCTAGGATTTTTCATGCTTTACCTCTTCAGAATTTCCTAGGATTATAGGAGGAAAGCTTGGGGAAACTAACGTTTAAAGCATAGATATTGATAGTTCTTAGAATTTGCTATTCTCAGGATATTCCTCTGCGACCGACTTTATGATGGGAGACTCTGGAATCTTTATTGGATTTATTAATACTACGAGATATTTTACTTGGGGATTTAGAATTGGAGATCTTACAGCAACTAATTCCTTTGTGAAAATGGATTCTTCAGGTGCACATTTAGCACTTGTAGCTTTTTCAGGCTCCGACATAAATATATTAGCAATAAATAAAATAGATGGCTCAATCCTAACTTAGTTCAAAGAACTTAATGCAGGTTTACTTTTAAAATATGGCATAGAGATAGATAGCAATGGTAATCTATTTTTAGCACTTAAGTATGGGACCTAGTGGAGATTTTCTTGCTATAATGGTGGGGTATTTTACAACATTGGAGTTACAGGCGTCACTACTAACGGTGCAGGATTAAGTTTGCTTTTATTATCTGACAATCTATATATTTCTGGATTGATTAAAAGCACAACCAATAGTGGAACATATTCCACTATTACAAATGTATAAGCTTCAACTGGATCAATTTAATGGAATGTTGGCTACAATAACTGGGGTTATCCTTCTACCTATTATGAAATTGAAAAACTTGCTGTAATCAACGGTAATTCCATGTATGCAGTTATGTCTGACTAGAAAGTTGGTTAACGCGAAGTAACTTTCGTAAAACTTGATTTAACTTAAACAGGCTCATCTATGATTACCTAAACATTTAGATATGCTGTATATAATGAGTATACAGTTTTAAGTCTTAGCTATACTATATCATCTATTTATATGCTATCAGTTTATACTGTTTCTAAAGCTCTAGAATTGACTTAAATAAAAGATTTCAATACAGCTTAGATTTAGGTAAATCTCTAGACAATTGGAAAAAATCTTTTATCATCTACAAATTTCTTAATAAGCAAGGCTCTCGTCCTTCCATCTACTAATCGCTATTTCGTTGGTAAATCTGATGAATTCAAGCCTTTCTCATTAAAATATACATATCCTATGGGCTTTATAATGTCAAGCCAGTCAAACATTAACTGCAACGATATAACTGATCTTTAAGGTGGAATTTCTTAAATTTTCTATGCCGAAATCATTTCATTATCTTTTTCTTCATTACCAATTGATTACTTTGAATAGTTTGCAATAGGTAAGATATTTAAATTCATTTTAATAAATAATTAATAGTTGATTAAACAGAAGCCACTGCTTACAGCTTAGTATAGATAGATCTTAATTCAACTGATAATTCATGGTGTCCAATAAAGAGAGTTTCAATTGATTTTTCATAGTCTGTATCTGTTCAATAAAATACTTATGTGACAAAAAATGCTTAAAAAATAAAGATCTTGAGAAATGCTACTGTTTCAAGAAGCTGCAATGACGCGAAGTTTGTTTACTACTACAATTCTGGCTTAGGATCTTTTATGGACTATTTTATTGGAAATAACTCAATTGGTGTTTACACAAATGACCCTTCATTATATGGAGTGTATGGTGTAAACTTAACAGTCAAATACGAGCCAACATATCTAAATCATACAGTAATAGTTCCTATTACAGTAAAAAATTGTTCAAGCGCTTAGATAACATCATCGAGCCAATATAGTTTTTCTTATGTTGTTGGAAATACCGCAATCACAATGATAATGTATAACTTTACAGTTGATATAGAATGCGAATTAGGAATTTCTTTTACCTACCAAGATTAGCTACCTTTTGATACTGAGATATTTTCTTTTAACTAAACAAGTCTATAATTCATAGTGAATACCACTAACAATGCAAAGAAAGGAGTCTATAATCTTATGTATAAAGGGTATGTTAAAGAAGATCCAAGTGTTGCCTAAACTATTTAATTCACAGTAAATGTCATTTACAATTGCTATCTTGCGATTTTCACAATAAATCCTCAACTTTCAATGCTTGAGTACGATGTTAGTGTCGGTAATAATGTTACTGTTGCAGAGTTTTAATGGACACAAGATGTTCCAGAGTGCCAATAGATCACCTACACTATATATGATTCAAGTTTCGAATCACCAGACCCTTTGATATTCGATATGAATGTAAATAAATTTACAATGTAATCTAGTAACATGTCCCTAACAGGCAAATTTTATTCTCTTTATGTCTATGCGACAAATCAAATTAAAACTCAAGCATACATGTTTTAAGTCAAGTTAGTCAATGCTTGCCAAAAAGCAATCATAACACCAAAGCCAATTGATAATAGGGTTTATCTTATGTCTGTGAATGAGATGGCCCTGGTACTCAATGGATGGGAATCATCTAGTGATATCTGTTATACCTTTAGTTATGAAATTTCGGTAACACCTGATCCTGGCAATGCTATAACTTATAGTTCAGTAACTAGCACTATAAGAATTCAATCAGATGATGTAAATCTAGGTGGAGTTACCTACACGATTACTGTAACTGGATTTATAGACTTCAAATTTGCGAAAAGCACGACTTAGTTTGATGTTCTATTTACTGATTATTGCATGACTGCATTCATACAGCCCTCATTTTAAATGGATATTATGTATAAGATTGCTTAAAGTACTACCAGAATTCAGATTCCAGTTTTTTAATCTAATGCTTCCTCTGCAGATTGTGGGTATTTTACTTACAAAATATCAGAAAAATCAGGCAAAGATATCAGTTTCCTCTCTCTTAATCAATTTTCAAACTTGCTTGAAATTTTTACGGATGATGATTCTTATTCTATCCTCAGTCCTTTTGATTTGAAAGTAACAGGCTAGTAAGGAAAGTATGAGAAATTTGCAAAATCTACGGAGTTCAGACTAACTGTTGAGCCAGCTTGTGGAGCAACTGAAATAATACCTCCTGAGAGTAGTGAAATCACATATAAAATACTAGAATCACCTATATAAGTTGACCTTGGACTATTTTAAACATTGCCTTATACTTGTGCTCTAACTTACTATTGTTAATTGAAGAATGGGAAAAGTTGCGATGCTAAATTTATAAGAAATTTCGATGAGCAAACGGGGAAATTCAACATTTCAACTTCTGATTTTAAGAAGCTTGGCACATACGATATTGAAATAGTCGGATATGTTGGATTATTAAGTAGTGCTGCAGAATTGAAAGTTAAAGTGATAATAGATTGTACTCTGACTACAATCAATCCTACTGCAATCTCAGATAGGACATTTAGCTATAAGGATCCAGCTCTTGAAATTGAATTCTCAAAGTTTAGTGATTCTCTTAATTGTCAGCCTGACATTTTATACACCGCTGTTGAGGAAGGATAACTTTTTTTGCCTAATGATTAGATTAAAATTACATTTGATGCTTAAAGTAGAAAACTCCTTGTCGAAAGTATAAATTTTATTGAAGAGAAAAACTATGCAATATCTTTAAAAGGAACATATCTTGGAAAAGAAGCTTCAATAATATTTCACATTTTGTATAGAGACTGTACTATTCAATATATGAAAACCTCTATTCCAATCAACAAAGTATTCTATCTGACTGAGGGAGCGAAAACTATGGAGTTAGCACCATTTACATTAGTCCCAGCTTGCAGCATTCCAATAACCTATACTTCAAGTTTAGCAAATGGGAGCCCTTTACCCTCATTTATCTCATTTAGTTCAGCAAATATCTAATATCGAATTGAAACAGAGAACGATAAGAATATTGGAGTATATAATTTGAAACTTATTGGTCAAACATAGTCTCAAGGATTTACAGACTCATTGGAATTTTCATTAACTATAGCATTTGCTCCTCCTGATTTTATGAATAAAGGACCTCCTTATTTCAAGACACCATTAGAAGTATTAGAGATAGTCTAAGGAACTACAAAGATATATACTTTACCTGAGATAGCTGATGACAATAATGATAAATATAAAATCACTCTGAAGCAACCACCGATCTTTGCTAAGTTATCTTCATAAAATATCATCTTTACTCCTAAAAAAGAGGATGTAGGATCCAAGAGTTTTCAAATTGTTCTATCCGATTTAAATGTCTAATCTATGAGTCAATCTTATTAGATGGATGTTATTGTTTTGGATGCTGATGAAGAATAAGTTTAGTTTGTTGATGAAATGGATGATTACTTAAAAAACCCCAATAAATATCTTAAAGCCTACATCAAGAAAACCTACTTTAATGGAAATGTTCTAGTCGTGTTTAGTTAAGATATTATTGAGCCAGCAAATATCACAGCAATTGATAATAGGACTCTCCAGGTATCAATCTGACCTGGACCATACTCTGATCCTGATTTATTAGACTTCACTTGGAAAACTATAGATTTTTCTAAAAATTCTATGACTATAAAACTGAAATTTGAAAACCCTTTGATTGTGTCCTATGATGTAAGGTTTATTCAATATTTATGTTTTATAGGGGAAAGACAAAGTTGTCATAAAATTTTTAGATGGATAATAATTTGTAAGCAGGAAAGATTCTAAAAGAATTCCAAATGGTTTATAGATAGATAAGGATTTGCCTAGATAGCTTGGTAAGGTTTCTCATACAATCATATTCACATATTAGATGGCGATGGATCCTTTTTAGAAGATTTAGGAAATGGTTTGGAAGGTGCTAGTACATCCATAGTCATGGGAAATTTTGCATCAAATCTAATTCTGTAAACTATTTAATAATAGATTTATATAGTTCTTCTACATTGTAATATCTTTGGGGGATGATAAATATATTATAAGTCACAGTACATTATCCATTATTTAACATAAACTTTCCACCGAATGCTAAAATGATAAATGCCTTGCTAGTAGGTGTGTGCACTTTTGATTTTATCCCTAGTGAAGAGGCTATTGTTGGTACTTTTAATTATGAGGGAGATGAGCCTTATGATTCTAATTTTGATGAGCTTGATATCTTTTGATTTATAATCAGTTTAGACGCTATTGTGTTAACTTATATAAGTTATGGAAGTAGATAAGTTATAATGAATTTAGGAACTTCAAACTTTTATTTGATGCTTTTGTTCGTATAGATAGCTAATTTGTTTCTCTTATATTTGCTTGGCATTAAAATAAAGATGTATAGAATAAAATATCCTTTATCTTTTTAGATTTTAAAGAATCTACAATTATTTTGCAAAAAAGCTATATTACAATTACTTCTTAAGATTTATCTTAGAAGGATACATAACTTATTCTTTAATAAGCTGTATCAACATCTAAAATGTAAGTTCATTCGCTAATAATAAATTCATAGTTGATGTTTGATAATATGCTTGAGATTCTTTCAGGAATGCTTGCCATTATTTTTCTATTTATCACTCTTGCAACTCCATTCGCAATAACCATATTTATCTATTAAAAGCATGAAAGTATATAAAATGATGATGAATTTGAAAATAAATGGGGATCAATCTATGAATCATTAAGAAAGGAACAAATTTCTACACTGTTTTGGAATGTCATATTTCTTTTCAAAAGACTGATATTTGCAATAATTGCTGTATTTATGAGAGAGTACCCTGCTCTTTAGATATTGATCCTTATAATGATGAATCTTGGATCTATGCTTTATATATTCCACACCAAGCCCTTTGATGATGCTAAAACCAACAATCTAGAAGTCTTTAATGAAGCTTGTGTTCTTGGGATATCATATCAAATATTATTCTTTACAGATTATCTCAGAGATCCCTTGATCTAATACCAAATAGGCTACGGAATACTTATTGTTACTGGATTAATGATGGGAGTAAACACTATATTTATGCTAGTTATGTTAGTATTTGAAATAAAGCAATGTTTTCTAGAAAAGAAAAAAAGATTCAATAATTGGAGAACTGAATTAAAGTAGAAAAGAGCATAGTCTAGAGTTGAAAAATATCAAAATACTGAATAAAGTGATAAAGACAATGCTTTTAGCAAGGTTTATGATGAAAAGTCTCTGATTAATGAATTAAACAAAACCAAAGCCAAATTGCTAATTGATCCTGAATCTTCTACTTAAAGGAACTCGTCAAATGCTTAGATAAATATCTAGCCTGTGACAATGGCAGATAAGTTCGAAATTCAAATGGAGATGCGAAGTCAATATCTTAATGTGGGGAAAAAACATAACAAGAAAAAAGTCAAAAAGAAGAAAAAGAAAAACAACTAAGGAGGGCAAGATAACTAAAATAGAAAAGTTAGAAAGATTGAATCTGAATCTAAAGTAGTAAAAGTACCTACAGAATAAGAGACATTCGATATATTTGGGACATTTGGGCCCTCTTAATAAGTAAAAAGTAGTGTAAATATCATTGTTGATGATTTGGATATTCATTCACCTAATTTAAAGACATAATAAAATACACAAAATACTAAAAGTTAAGGGGATACCAATAGTCCTTTAATCAAAATTAGCTCTTGAATATTTATTCAAATAAAACGATGATTATTGATATTATTTATTTTAATTTGGCATTTTAAATTTTAAATTCTCCGATTTTTTAATTAAATAATTTCTACGGGGTTTTGGGGTTTTGGGGTTTTGGGG